AATGTAGCCGGCGTCGGGGCGAGAGCGCGCGGAACCGTTTCTGGAGATCAGCTATCATTATTCTCTAGGAATGAGTATTCAACAGCGGTTCTTGCAGACTACTTCCTCACACTGGATTCCCACATCGCGCTCCCGCGCTGGATTTCTTCACGATTGATGCAGAAATTGTGCTCTCGCGTTGGATTTCCTTTCAATTGATTTAGACGCCGCGCCCTCGACACTCAGGAATCGCGCTCTCGCTGTGGATTTCCTGACGATTTATGTGGGAATCGCGCTATCGCTAGAGATTTCCTCGCGATTCATGCAAGACTCAGACTTCAGCAGCCCGCCTGCAGGACCTGGCCGCCTGGGCCCGCCTTCCCGACCCGCCCGCTAGGGTCTGCCCGTCCGATCTGCCCGTTTGGTTTCTGTTCCGAGCCCCGCTCCTGCTACGTTCTCTCATGCTCAATCCTTCTCCCTCCCCTTTCCATCCGTCCTATCCTACCCTGTTTGAGGGGTTGCGCTACATGCGCGTGGCAGGTAAAGAAGATAGACTCCCAAGGAGAAACGATAGAAGACGAAGAGGGCGGGTATCGAGGGTTTGGGATATACATACGTGTTGCATGGCACGCGAGCAGATAAGAACGATCAGACGTAAAGTGATTGGTTGTAGTTTTGCTGCTGTTGTTGGTGGTGTTGTTGCTATTGTTGGTATTGGTGTTGTTGTAGTTGGTGTTGTTGTTGGTGTTGTTGTCGTTGCTATTGTTGGTGGTGTTGTTGCTGTGTTGGTTGCTACTGGGGTTGATGATAAGGTTGTTGTTGTTGTTGGTGATGTTGATGCTGGTGGTGGTGGTGCTGTTGTTAGTCATGTCGTTGGTATTGCTGTTGTTGTGGTTGTTGCTGGTGTTGCAGGTGTTGTTGTTATTGGTTATGGTGATGGTGGTGGTGGCGCGTTTGTTGTTGGTGGTGTTGTTGTTGTTCGGGGTCCGGTTTGGACAGTATCCCGAAACGTTCGAGCGTGAGCCTCAATGTCAAAGAAAATGCAGTCGGCGCCAGGGCGAGAGCACCAGGGCGCCTGTAGGGTGGTCCAACAATGCGAATGGTTGAACAGTTGTCAGTCTGCAGCAACAACAGCAACGAGTGCATGACGAGTCGCTCTTACATGCTCACGTGCCACTGAACATGCATCTGAGTGCTTGCGTGTTGTTCCCGCTGCCTTCGGAACATGTTTGTTGGACATCACGGCCATCACGGGTGTAACATATCCCAGGCTTGTCGGCGCAACCCACGGCGTGCTTCCGCTGATGATTACAGTCCTTCCTTGGCAGTTATCCCGAGAAAGAGCGAGCGGGAGAGAGAGGTAGAGGGAGAGGGAGAGAGAGAGAGAGAGAAAAAAAAAAAAAAAAAAAAAAAAAAAAAAAAAAACGTTGAAACAACAGGGGACAGAGAGCGAGGGACGCTTCGAGAACCCAGAGCCAGGACAATGCCCCGAGGAGCGCACTCTTCATGCGGATCAGGGGGCTCCTCATGTTCGCAGCCGTCCCCGGGACCCCTGGGGACGGCAGGCCCCGGGGCGCAGCAGCAGTATGCAGCAGCAGGCATCGGCGGGCAGCAGCAGGCCGTGAGGCAGCAGAGGTGGGCAGCGAGCGCAGCAGCAACAGGGCGCGGCAGGCAGTGACGCGCAGCATCTCTGCCCCCAGGCCCTGGATGTGCCGCAGCCCAAGATCGACCGAATTCGGGCTGGGTCCCCGGCATGCCGGGGGCAGGGAGCGCTTGGGAGCCTGGAGGCAGCACAGGGTGGTGTGCTGGAGCCCAAAAACGACCAACCTCACAGAGAAGACTAGCATTGGGGAGTTCGTTTTCGCAGCCGTCCCCAGGATCCCAGTCCCTGGCATGCCGGGGACAGGTGTCTTGGGGAGCGCCAAGGAACGCTTGGGAGCCTGGGGAAGCACCTAAGAGCGCACACCAGAGGCGCCCGGGAGCGCGGGATGGTGCGCGGGAGCTCAAAAACGATTGATTTCGCAAAGAAAAACGTGATTGGGGAGTTCGTTTTCGCAGCCGTCCCCGGGATCCCAGTCCCAAGAATTCAGAGGACAGGTGTCCCTGGTATGGAGGGGGATCGGAAGATGAGCAGGTGGGGTCGAAGAATCGCGCCGCAGCGCCGATGCGGCTCGATATGGAGCCTGTGTCTCTCCACGCCGTCGGCGCCGATGCATCGCCGACGCATCGGCGACGCGCCGCGATCCTCTGGCCCCATCTGGTCGGACCCCATCTGGGAGGCCTGTCGTCCTCGCCCCGAGCAATAGCCGCGCCCCCGCCGCCCGTCGTGGCGCCGCCAACGCCTGCGACCGCAGCCGGCTCGTCTCCGTGGTCGTGGTTGGGCGGGGCGGCTGCGCCCGAGGCGCGCGTTTGCGCGCCTCGCACTGTCATGCCCGGGAGACGGCGGCGACGATGACGGCAACGACGGCGACGGCGGCGACGGCGATGGCGACGGCGACGACGACGGCGGCGACGACGACGGCGGCGACGGCAGCGGCGACGGCGATGGCGACGGCGGCGACGATGGCGGCGACGGCGGCGGCAGCGGCGGCGGCGACGACGAGGGCGGCGACGACGACGACGGCGGCGACGGCGGCGACGGCGACGGCGTCGGCGGCGGCCGCGAAGGCGGCGACATCCAACGGCGGGCGGCGGCGAGGCGCAGACGCACGGCCGCGTCATCGGCGGCCGGGCGTCCAGCGAGCCGCTGTCGCCCGCGCGGCCGCCCTCCCGCGGGGCCCGCGGAGCGTCCCCGCAGCGGCAGTGGCGGCCCAGACGTCGGAAATGGGCTGCGGTGGACTTCCTCTTCCTGGCATCGCTCGGACGTGTGCGTTTTTTCTCGGCGAGGACCATCGAGGACCATCCTGGACCATCGATGAAAAAAAGCACGCACGAAACCGGAGAATGCACGGGAAATGGACGTCCGAGCGACGACAAGTCTTAGGCCTCCTAGATGGGGTCCGAGCCGATGGGGTCAGAGGATCGCGCCGCATCGAGGATGCATCGGCGACGCGGCTCGATGTGGAGCCCGATCTTCTCCACGCGGACGTCGCCGCTGCATCGCCGGCGTAGACGATGCATCGTCGATGCATCGGCGATGCGGCGAGATTATCCGACCCCATCTACTCCGACCCCATCTGGGAGGCCTCCATTCCAGCGTTCATGTTCACGCGTTCTGTCCGCACTCCTGGTGGCCTGGTGGGTGTGCGCTTGGCCTTCTTCGGCTGCGCGTAAGAGTGACCTTTACCAGAGTGACCGTTGGTACGGGCTCACAGGGGTCTCCCCAGCGCTGGCTTGCGCGCTCGGATTGGCCACCTCCCCTACCCCCCCGCGGCCCCCGAAGGCCGCGCACCAAAGGTCACTCTTGCCTAGGGTCACTCTCTCGTGTAGCCGACATCTGCTCGGGCTCTGGGAAGGTGTGGCCCCACTGTCGCACCGCATCGCAGGCGCCTCGGAGACTACGGCGCGAGCCAGAGCCTGATCGCCCATCGCCGATGCATCGGCGATGCGGGGCGGTGCTGGGACAGACCCCACCCCTGGCCCCTTCGGGATGTTTTCAGCGGCGGGGGCGTTGAGCCGTTGCCTGGGATCTCTCCTGATCCAAGAGCGCTCGCGCGATCGCGTAAAGAACATATATTAGGCGCGGGAGGGGCTCCAGCTCTTGGGCCACCCCTTGGACCTGTGCAGTGGAGATCCATGCCAAGAAACACCCTGCTTGCCTTCAGGGTGCCATGGGTTTCTTGGGTGTTGATGGTTTTGCCATGGAAAGCTTGATTCCCCCGCACAAAAAATGGCGTCCTGGGGTCTCAGGGTTGGGTTCCTTGCGGAAGGTTTCTTGTGGTCGGGCCCCTACTGTATCGATGATCTTGCTGCTCGTGGTCGAGGTTCGCTCCGGCCAGAGGAACAAAAAAACATGCCATTTCCAGATTGACATTCCATTGTGGCAAGACTTCCGCTGCAGCTTGCCCTTCTTCCCCACTCTCTCTTCCTTTTGTCCGACGCAGGTGTACCCATCGATGGTTGAAGGTAGGTATCTTTGGACTCCCGGATTCTAGTCTGCTCGAAGCGCTTTCCTGCTTCGATGATCGAGTGGCTGCACCGCTTCCGTCCTCAGGGGGCGGACGGAACCCAGTCTACGTTCAACGCCTTCCTACTCCATGTTTCTACCTACTGCACTTCCTCGCGGCTTCTCGGGCGTTGCTTACCAGTTTGAAACATATCCCTATCCCTATGTTTGGCATCACCTTACCTCGATACCGACCTGAAGGATTCCCTTCGTTTCTGAGGGCCTACCCCTAAGATTGTCATCGCGGTTGGCTTGCCCATCTCAGGGGTAGGGATCAGGTTCAAGGCTGGCAGGTTGACGCCGCAGCCACGTCCGGGCGCGCACGGACCTCCGAGCCGGGCGGAGGACCGAGAGAGGCCCGGTTGCGCGGACCCACGCACGGCCGCACGTTTTGCGCGGGAGAGCCAGGGAAGGAAGTCCAGATGCGCGGGAGAAGGACGAGAGAGGGCGATCTTTGAGGGCCCCCAGGCCGTCTCGGTCCGTCGGAAGGCCGAAGAGAAGCAGATGCCACGAGCCTGGCCTCTTCGGGCCTTCCTGGAGGCCCGTCTCGGCGACCTCTTGGGGCAGAGGCCGGCGGGGCGCTCAGTCTGGAACGTTCTTCACGAAGGTGACGCGGCCCAGGCTCCGGGTGAGGAGAAGGCGGAGGCGGAGGAGGAGGAGGAGGAGGAGGAGGAGGAGGAGGAGGAGGAGGAGGGGGGAGGGGAGGAGGAGGAGAAGGAGGCGGAGGAGGAGGAAGGGAGGAGGAAGAGGAGGAGGAGGAGGAGGAGGAGGAGGAGGAGGAGGAGGAGGAGGAGGAGGAGGAGGAGGAGGAGGAGGGGGAGGAGGAGGAGGAGGAGGAGCAAGAGCAGGAGCAGCAGGAGGTTGTCTTGCACGCGTCGGCTCATCCATGCGTTGTCCGCCTTGTCTGCATCGCCTACTCCCAGCGAGATGCCGCGCGCATGCCCTGCCTGTCAGGCAGGGCGCTTGGTACTGGAAGAGGTCATCGCATGAAGGCGCGTCAGTGGCAGACCTCTTCTTCGTTTGCAGCCCTGTGGGGCTCCAGTCTGCACCTCGCTGCCATTTACTTAACTACCGAATAGATCCAGTTACATTACCGATGGCGGCAGCTGGCTTCCGCACCGCGGCCCAATTTTGCGTGGTCGTTCATGCGGGCGCTGTCCTGATGTTGCACAAGCAACTTGGAGAGGAGAGCGGGGGTGGCGGGGAGACCCGAAGATACGAGCAGGAAGATGGCGCGGAGGTCCAGATCGGCGTGATGAGCAAGACCGGCGTCACGCGATACAGCGCCGAGCGGATCAGGAAGGTCTCCAGCAAGGACGGCTTCTACATGGGGGATCCAGGTGCGGCGGACGGTTCCAGATACGTCGGCGCCACCGACCTGACCGACAACGTCTCGTGGGGTTGGCACCACCCGAACGGCGTCTACAACAGCATCCCGGTCGGCGCCCCTCTCATCGACGACGAGATGAGCATCTACCTGGGCTCGGACGACGCGGTCCGGAAGTTCACCGTCAACGGCGACCTCGTGTGGACCTACGCCCCCCGCGGAGCCCTCGCAGCCGCGCCGACGCTCGTGACTCCCAGCGACAGGAGCGGAGCGGATGAGGAGGAGAGGGAGGGGGAAGAAGGGGGATAGAATTGACGCTGCTGGCGAATCGCCTCCGCAGCTGGCCTCGGAAGAGGGGCGGAGAGCGCGGGACAAGGCCCAGCCGGGCGGGAGGTTGGGCGAGGCCTCAAGAGGGGGAAGCATATGCATTGCCAGCATGGAGTGACTCTGAGTTCGAAAGGGGCCCAGGGGAGTCCTGAGGTCCTGCTGCGGGCTCTTCCTCGAGCGTCCCTCGCAGATCTGGGCGCAGCGGGGGCCACAGGGGCTCGACCCCAGCTTGAGACTCTGACTGCGTGCAGATGTGGACAGGCCTTCCCTCCCCCCCCCCCCCGAGTGCCCCCTCCTCCCCGCCTCCCTCCACACTTGGCCCTCACCCCATCTACCTACCCCCCCCCCCCCCCGTGTCTCTGAGAGGCTGGCCGACCCTCGACTCCTCGGACCCCGGAGGGTCGCCCCTCGGGCTTCCGCGGGGGCTTCCTCGGTCCGCGGCCCTGCCGCTGCTGCTGCTGCGGCTGCGGCTGCGGCTGCTGCGGCTGCTGCGGCTGCTGCTGCTGCGGCTGCTGCTGCTGCTCCGGCCTCTCTCCTCTCCCCTCGCTCCCGCCCTCCCCCCCCCTCGCTTCCCTCGGGGGGGCGGGGCACTCGGGGCCCCGATGTCCGACATCCGCGACGACGACGACGACGACGAAGGCGACGACGACGGCGACGACGACGACGACGACGACGACGGCGACGACGACGACGACGACGACGACGACGACGACGACGACGACGGCGGCGGCGACGACGACGACGACGACGGCGGCGGAGACGACGGCGACGACGACGACGACGACGGCGGCGGCGACGACGACGACGACGACGGCGGCCGCGGCGATGACGACGACGACGACTCGGCCCCAACAGTCGCTCGGATCACTCGCCGCGGGTCGCGCTTTTTGTGGGAGCCGTGCCCGAAGCGGGTCTTGGGAGGGAAGCTCTGGAAAGCGGGCCGTCTTGAGTTCGGGCGTGGCCCGAGCTTGTTTTCGGGAGAACTGAATTGGTCGCACCCCGTAGCAATGCCGCAACGAGAACCCGGCCGTTGCAAGTCTCAACGGCGGGGGGCGCATCCTATGGCGCACCCCCCCGTGGCGTAACCTCCCCATGCCGCAATTGCGCAGCTTTCCATGGCGCAGCTCGTGGCGACACCGCCCATTCAGCGCAGCCTGCAGCGCAGCCTGCAGCGCAGCCTGTGACGCAGCCTGTGACTCAACCATGGCGAAGCTCATGGCGCAGCCACTGCGAAGCCTGCGGCGCAATCTCGCCGCAACCTACGGCGCAACAGCATGGCGCACCGTGGTCACCGGCGCAGCCTATCAACGCGTTTGGCTGGAGAGGGTGCCAGCGTGCCGCCGCTGCCGGCGCCTGCGGGCGTGGTGGGCCGCGGGCGTGGGAGGGGGTGAGAGGGCGGAGGAGGAAGGAGAGAGAGGAGGGAGCGAGGAGAGAGGATTCGGGCATTGAGGGAACGCGCTTCCAGACAAGTCGACTGAGGAGCTCTGCACGGGCTCCTTCGAAGACACTGAAGCTATCCTTGAAAAGGCGGTGTCCTTCAAAGCGAGTCTGCGCCAACCCAGGCCCGGGGGGCGGGAGCAGGAGCGAACAAGGGCCAGGGAGGAGTGCACTGACCCAGCACACTCACTGGAGCGCTGGGAGACCGGAGCTAAAACCCCGTGGACGGAGCGGCCACGGACAGAGCGGTGCGGAGAGTGCGAGCCTGCACGAAAGCAACGGACCGCCGGCAAGGGAGAAGCTCGGGGGTCGAGAAAGCGGGGGAGCGGGCAGGGCGGGGGCAACCCGCAGCGAGAGCCCAGCACTGCGCCGCGACTGCGCAGAAGACGCGCACCGAGAGCGACTGAGGCAGCAAGCAGAGTCAACAGATTGCCTGCGGCAGGCGTCGCGCAGGGCCACGGCACACGAGCGGGCGGGGCGGGGGCGGCCCAGCAAGAGGGCAGGGACACGCACTGCATGACAGCGGCAGCACCTGCGCTACGCACTACGATCCTGCACAAAGACGGGGGCCAGCAGCCACACAGGAAGACTGCGCAAGGTGAAAAGGAGGCCTGGAGCAGGAGGGGCGTGGGCGACCCATCAAGAGGGCAGGGGGCACGCAGTGCGAGACGATGAGCCTGCACACTCAGAGGCGTGATCCTGCAGGCTGCCGTGCGTCAGGGGGCCTCGGCCTCTGGAAGGCGACGGACCCACATTGTCACAAAATCTAGATGTTGCCAGCGGATGCCCGCCATGGTCCACCTCGGCAGCTCCCAAGCCGCCCAGTCCATGGGCTCTGGCTCCGCTGCGCAGCGGAGCGCTCGTGTTGCCCTGGGCGCTGCACTGGACGTTGCCCTCCACTGCACAGCGGAAGGGAGCAGCAAGTCCACTCGCGCTGGTGCAGGAAGCACTTCGGGTGGGACACCAACGCGATCGCGACTGGCCCACGTCCACTTGGCCTCGAGAGGGCTCCGAGAGGTAGGCGACGCCCCTGACACTACGACAAGCGTCGGTGGGCAATGTGTCGCCAGGTCGCCCTCCACTTGGCTCGCAGGCGGGCCGCCTCCCCTGTCACGGGACGGCGGCTTCGATGGCGGAGGCGCATCGCCCGCCCTTTGCGCCTCCCTCGTGGTTCCAGGACCCGCAGGAGGAACACCAGGGACCCCAGGAGAAGCAGCACCCGCAACTCCAGGTACGTCTGACACGTCATGGCGCAGCGGCTGGGGTGGCGCTCGAGCTTGCGAAAGGGGTGGTGCAAAGTCCGGCGACGCCCTGCGAAACTGTACGTCAGGGCGCCTTACACGAACAGAAACGGCAGCAGAAGCTGGCCCCACAAAGTCTTCACGAACGAAAAGGAGATGCCGAGGCGGCGCACGAAGATGAGGTTCACGCAGACAAACTGGTGGCGGCTGCAGCGGCGCATGGGCCTGCGGCCCGTAGCGCTCATAAACAGCAACAGGAGCACGTTGATGTGAACGATGATTCCCAGGGCGACGAAGGCTACATGCCTGTGCAAGGGCGGCTACATCAGCCACCTCGGGGCAACAGCCTGCTCGGTCCGCGTAGCCCATGCGCGCTACGGCGGCGCTGACGGGCCTTGTTGGGCAGGTGACACTACGCCGAACGACTACATCTCGTGAGACGCGATCGGGCCTGGACATAGCAGCCTGACTGGTGCGCAGGGGGCTGACCAGCAGAAGGTAAGTGGCAGGCCAGAGCCTTGACCGAGCAGGAGGAAGGAGGTAGGAGAGGCGGCGGAAGGTGAGGAGCATCAGAAGGAGGAGAAGCAGGAAGAGGAAGAGGAGGGAGGAGAGGGGAGGGACAGAGGGAGAATGATGAGGAGGAGGAGGTGAGGAGAAATGGGGAGGAGGAAGGGGGGAGGAAGGAGGACAAGGAGGAGGAGGAAGGGAGGAGGAGGAATGAGGACAAGGAGGAGGTGGTGGAAGAGGAGGAGGAGGGGGAAACACAGAAAGGAGACGAGAGGAAGAGGAAGGGCAGAGGACATGGATAACAAAGGGCAGGTGTAGGCAGAAGAGGAAGTGGAGAGAAGAAGGAGGAAGGAGGATGGAGGAGGTAGGAGCAGCACCAGCGGGACGGAGAAAGAGAAAGAGGACGAGGAGGAAGAGGAAGAATGAGGAGGAGAGTGAGGGATCAGAGACTGAAATCGGGAGGACGAAGGCAGGGAGGAGACGGAGGGAGAAGGGGAAGCTAGGACGATGGAGGAGGAGGAGGAGGAGGAGGAGGAGGAGGAGGAGGAGGAGGAGGAGGAGGAGGAGGAGCGAGGAGGAGGAGGAGGAGCGAGGAGCGAGGAGAAGGAGGAGGTACGGACGGACGGCGGGACGGAGGGTCATCGAGAAGGAGGAGGAGGTGGTGAAGGAGGAGGAGGAGGAGGAGGAGGAGGAGGAGGAGGGAGATAGAGTTGGAGGAGGAGGAGGAGGAGGAGGAGGAGATGAACGATGTGGGCGAGAAGGAAGCAGGACGAGGGGCAGAAGGGAGGAGTATGTTCGAGCGCCGCAGGGCCAGAGGTGACAGGCAACAGACAGCAGACGGGAATGGCAGGGAGAAGACGTTGGAGGAGGCTGATAGAGATGGAGATGGCGGGCAGGAGGAAGGAGGGCGGGCAGGAGGAAAGAGGAAGCAGGGTTCAGGATTCACGGGGCAGGGAGGGAGAAGGGGAGAGGAGGAGAACAGGAGGAGGAGGAGCAGGAAGAGGAGGAGCAGGAGGAGGAGGAGAGAAGAGGAGGAGCAGCAGCAGACGCAGCAGCATCAGGAGCAGCAGAAGGGGGGAGGAAGGAGGAGGGAGAGACGAGGAAGGAGGACGAGGGATGAAGTAGAGGAGGATGGGGAGGATAATTGAAGGAGAAGGGGGAACGAGTGATGAAGGGATGAGGAGGGAAGTAGGCGGATACGGGAGGAATGTGCGATTGAGGAAGAACGAGGAGGAATGAGGTGGGCGAGGAAGGAGAAGCGAGGGAGGATGAGGGAGGAGGTGGAGGAGACTAAAGAGGAGAAGGGGAGGAGGAGGAGGAGGAGGAGGAGGAGGAGGAGGAGGAGGAGGAGGAGGAGGAGGAGAGGAGGAGAGGAGGAGGAGGAGGAGGGTGAAGGAGGAGGAGAGGAGGAGGAGGAGGAGGAGGAGCCGAGGAAAAGGAGGAGGAGGAGCCGAGGAAAAGGATGAGGAGAAGGAGAGGAGGAGGAGGAGGAGGAGCCGAGGAAAAGGAGGAGGAGGAGGAGAACGACGACGACCAAGCGGGACGAAGGAGGGAGGGAGGGAGGGAGGGAGGGAGGGAGGGAGGAGGGAGGGAGGGAGGGAGGAGGAGGAGGAGGAGGAGGAGGAGGAGGAGGAGGAGGAGGAGGAGGAGGAGAAGGTAGAAGGAGCATGCAGAAGGGATGAGGGAGGGGAGAGGAAGGAGAGAGGCATGGAAGCAGAACCAGGGAGGGGTGGAGTCTCTCCCCCGAGGAGGACGCAAGAGAAGTCCGCCTTGCTCATCGGGACCGCGCAGGAGGCGGAGGCCGAGGACGAGCTCCGGCCTCAGCGGCCAGGCGCCGATGGGATCCAGAGCAGGGGGGGGCAAAGAACAATTATCCTGGCAAAGATCCCAGCCATGTGCAGCTGCGCGCATCGCGAGGCAGGTGGAACGAAGGAGAAGTGCCGCGGAGCATGCCGGAGGCGTGCCGAAATGGGCGCGGCGGCGCCATGCGGAACCTCCCTCTGGGCCTTCGGTGGAGCTCCTTCTTGGGCCACGAAGCGTCTGAGGGGCGTGCAGAAGTCGGCGCGGCAACGCCCCTCACATTGGGGCCTTCGGTGGAGCCCCTCTGGGGCAACCAAACGTGTAAGGGGTGTGCAGAAATGGGCGTGGTTACGCCATGTGGACCCCACCACCGGGGCCTTCGGTGGAGCTCTCCCTGAGGCAACGGAGCGTGTGAAGGGTGTGCCGAAATCAATGCGGTGGCGCCATGCGGACCCAGCCTTTTGGGCCTATGCTCGGGCTTCCTGCGGGTTTCTGAAGCGTGTGCGGGGTGTGCCGAAGTGGGTGCGGTGGCGCCGTGCGGACCCTGTCACTGGGGCCGTCGGTGGAGCCCCCTCTTGGGCCACGAAACGTGTGAGGGGTGTGCCGTGTGCAGTGGCGACATGCGGACCCTCCCATTGAGGCCTTCGATGAGGCTCCCTATAGGGTCACGAAATTTATGAGGGGTGTGCCGAAATGGGCGCGGTGGCGCCATGCGGACCCTCCCAATGAAACCTTCGGTGGGGCTCTCGATGGGGCCACGAAACATGAGCCACTGAGGCCTTCGGTGGGGCCACGAAACGTCGTGCGAGGGGTGTGCCAGCATGGGCGCGGTGGCGCCACGCGGACCCTCCTACTGAAGCTTTCGGTGGAGATCCTGTGGGACCAGGAAACATGTGAGGGATGTGCCGGAGTCGGCGCGCTAGCGCCATGCGGACCCTCCTACTGGGGCCTTCGGTGGAGCTCCCTATGGGGCCACGAAGCGTGCGAGGGCCGTGCCGACATGAATGCAGTGGCGCCATGCAGACCCTCCCACTGGGACCTTCGGTGGAGCTCCCTATTGGGCCACGAAGCGTGAGAGGGGTGTGCCAAAATGGGTGTGGTGGCGCCGTGCGACCCCTCCCACTGGTCAAGCCCCCGTTGGGGCCACAAAACGTGTGAGGGGTGTGCAGAAACGGGCGCGGCTGCGCCATACGGACCCTCCCACTGGGGCCTTCGGTGGAGTTCTCTATTGGGACACGAAGCGTGTGAGGGGTGTGCTGAGATGAGCGCGGTGGCGCCGTGCGGCCCCTCCCTGTGGGGCCGTCGATGGAGCCCCCTATGGGGCCACGAAGCGGGTGAGAGGTGTGCCGAAATGGGTGCGGTGGCGCAGCGCGGCCCCTCCAATTGGGGCATTCGCTAGAGCTCCCTCTAGGGCAACGAGACGTGTGAGGGGTGTGCGGAAACGAGCGCGGTGGCGCCATGCGTACCCTCCCACTGGGCCTTCGGTGGGGCTCCCTATTGGGCCACGAAACGTATGAGGGGTGTGCCGAAATGGGTGCGGTGGCGCCATGCGGACCCTCTCACTGTGGGCTTCGGTGGAGCTCCCTATGGGGCCACGAAGCGTGTGAGAGGTGTGCCGAAATGGGTGCGGTGGCGCCGTGCGGCCCCTCCCATTGGGGCCTTCAGTGGAGCCCCCTCTGGGGCCACGAGACGTATGAGGGGTGTGCCGAAATGGGCGCGGTGGCGCCATGCGGACCTTACCATTGGGGCCGTCGGTGGAGCTCCCCATGGGGCCACGGAACGTGTGAGGGGTGTGTCGAAATTGGTGCGGAAGCGCCATGCGGCCCCTCCCACTGGGGCATTTGGTGGAGCTCCCCATGGAGCCACGAAACGTGTGAGAGGTGTCCCGACATGACAACGAGGAAGGAGAAGGGAGGAGGAGGGAGAAGAGAGGGGGACGGAGGAGGAAGAACGAGGACCATAACCACAGGGTGATTGGGAAAAGTGAGGGGGCAGCCTTTGCGTCGTCCCCCCATCCCTCCCCCAGCGCCGTCGACGTTGAGATCGCGGTTATGGTGGTGGGCATGGTCGCTGTTGTCGCCAACGTCGTTGGTAACATCGTTATCGTGGTCGTCTTCATCGGTGTCTTCGCCGCTGCCGTCGTCGTCTTCGTCGTGGTCGGCGTCGCTAAGCTCTTGTTCTTTCTCGCCGTCGTCTTGGTCGCCGTCTTCGCCGTCGTCGGCGTGAATGCAGTCTTGGTCATCGTCGCCGTTGCGATTAGCGTCGGTTTCGTCGCCGCCTTTGTCGTCGTTAACATCTGCGTTCTCGTCATAGTCGTCGTGGGGGCCGTTGCGGTCATGATCGTGGGCGTCGTTGGCGGCGTCGTCGTCCTTCTCCTCCTTGTCGTCGACGTATTCGTTTCGGCCGTTGTCGTCATTGTCGTTGGCGTCGTGGTCGTCGTCGTTGCGGTCGTGGTCGTAGCCGTCGTGGTCGTCGTCATTGTTGCCGTAGTTGTGGTCGTTGTCGCCGCCAACGTCGTCAATTTCGGTCTTGGTCGCCGTCGTCGTGAACGGCGTCGTCGTGTTCCGTTTGTCGCCGCACTTGTCGTCGGCGTCCTCTCCGCCGCCGTCGCCGTCGATGCCGTCGTCATCGCGATCGTCGTCGTCGCCGTCGTGCGTGGCAAGCCCCCGGGATGAGTGCACACGGACAGCCCCTTCGGGGGCCCCCAAACGGGGGGCTGACCACACCGTGTGGTGAGTCGGCGGGGATTCGGGGTCACCGCACAGTTTTGGGACTCGGGTCGTTCTCCGAGGACGTCTCGGGCGATGGGGGCACCCGGGGTCCCAAGACCGTGGGCTGACGGACCGTGCGGTGAGGTCTTGGGGGAGTTCGAGGTCACCGCACGGTCGGTCGCCGCACCGCTTCGGGACTCCAAACCCTTGGAGGCGGCCCTGGATGGCATCCACAGGTCGCCAGGGCAACCCAGGGCGGTCTCAGCACGCAGCGCCGCCCTTGACAGCGCCCCCACGGGAGCGCCGTGCCGCCGTCGGGGTGCCGGGGCCGCCCCGGGCCACCCCGTGGACCTGCAGAGCAGCCAGGACCAACTCGACAGTAGATGGTAGACTGGACACGCACGCACACAGGTCGTCACCCGACTCTCGGGGGTCTCTTGGATGCCTCCTGGGGGCTTCTTGAGGGCTTCTCGGGGGCCTCCTGTGGGGGCCTCCTGTGGGCCTCTTGGGGGCCTCTTGGCCTTCCGAGGCCCGGACTTCTGGAACGCCCGCGTGCACCTGTGTGCGTCCTGGCCTGGTGCTTCGCCCCCCTCTGTCGGCCGTCTCCCTCCCCCTAGCTTTCTAAGCCCTTCCGAAGCTGGCATGGACTCGCAGACAGGCGACGCCCTGAGCTTGTTCAGCCACGTCAGGGTCGGCGACCGTCTTCGGGTGAGGGCGGGCATGGGATATCATGCCGACGGCAAGGAGTACTACAAGTCTGGCGACGAAGGTGAGATCATGAAGATCGTCACCGACACACAGGGCAGCGACAAGGCCGTTGTGCGGTGGGCGCGCACGCGTCAAAGCAGCGTCGCGCCGATCGCTTCTCTCCATAAGAGGTTCGTGCGCATCACTGAAGGATTGGCCAGGACCGTGGGCATGCTGGTTGGCAGCACTAGCTCTGGCTACGTGTTCGCCCTGGACATGGCAACAGGTGAGGAGATATGGGCCACCAAGGCCTCCGACGAAATCCAAGGAGTGAAGGGAGCAGTCTCTGGCAGGAACGGGGTAGTGGTGGCTGCAACCAACCGCTGCAAGGACCGCTATTGTTACCGCTATCGCAATCAGACTAATCCCTTGACACCGTCTAACACTGTCGTCAGGGGCCTGAGCGCCTCAGATGGAAGCGCCCTCTGGGAGTTCAAGCCAACGTCCCCTGTCTGGAACATGGTGCCGATGTACAGCAACGACAGTACAACAGTCATGTTCAGCGACTTCGAGGGCAGCGCCTACTGTCTGGATCTCCTGACCGGCGAGCTCAAGTGGCAGCACCAGGGCGCCATGGGGACATACACCCAGTCGTTCGCCGTGTACTTTGGCCCTGGCAACCTCCTCTACACGATGGGCCTGAAGAACGAAGGCTCGTGGTCCTACGAGCACAAGTATCCCAAGGGCCCCACGTCCTCTGCCCGCCGCTCCCCCGCCCTGACATGCGAGGAGGAGGAGGAGGCCAGTCAGCGAGGAGGGCAGAGGAGGCGCAAGGAGTAGTAAGCTGCGCGCCGCGCGTTTGCAGCCAATGGTCGCGGA